TCAAAGATCCAGCACCTGGAGTGACTGTGTGTGTGTGATGGGGTACGGAATGCTCTAAATTCTTTTGATAGAGCACCTGAACCCAGACTGGGAATCTGCGTACTTCCTCAAGATGCCCTTCTAAGAGCTCCTCAGATGGTGAAGATCTTTATTTCAACCACTGTTGCTGTAAACCAAAACAGATCCACTCTGGATGAGATGCACCCACCCCCAGGCACACTTTCCTTGGAGAAGGCCTTCCAACAGGTCCGTTCTGATTCTTTCCCCTGCTGAGAATTTGCCATTCCACCCCAGAGTCTGCATTTTAACAAGATTGTGGCTTGTTAGGGTTCTGATTCAATATATCTGAGGTAAGAAAGCAAATTCTTAGTAGAGGGTCCAACAGGAATGAACTGGTTCAAAGCCTTGCTCTAGAGTCCTTAGGCCTTGCTGCAGTGAGGTGAAAAATAGCAATTGTGTTGAACTCTTAATTAGAGTTTTCCTCCGTGGGATTACCTATATCCTGCCCACCACAGAGGCTCCTGTGAGTAATTTACCTTTGAACTCTCCTGGTATTCAGCCACTGATCCATGGGACTTGGTGACAATCCCTAGCTGGCAGGAAGCTTTGATCCCTGGGGAGTCCAGAGGAAGTCTGTGATATGTGGGATCCCCAGAGTTACAGGGACTGGGGAGAAGCAGCACTAAGCTTGGTTGCTAAGACAGACACATTAATTAAGAAGGAGCCTTTGCTTAACACTCAGTTACCTGAAAAAGGAGATCGGGTTAGTGATAACAAGGAACTCAGTGGGCCTGTCAAGTATGAGATGGTGTTTGCACCGCACTATTGTTCTTTTCAGGACACGGCATTGCCTAGGGGAAAATTCTTACCCATACCAGGAAGGAACAGAACACCTGAACAGGATACCTCAGAACTCCCCCCACCTTTTTTTTTTATTGTGATTTGGGTGAAAATTTACATAGTAAATTCACTTCCCATATAGCAGTTCACATACATTTTGTCTCATGACACTAACTACAATTTACCCCAATGCAACAGCTCCCTTCCCACTTCTTCCTGATAGTTACCTCTTTCCTGTGTCCATCCCTCCATGCACTCCTGCCCCCTGAACTATCTCCCTGTGCATACACAGCCCTTCTTTCTCCCATGATTGTTCTCTCCAAGGTGTGTATCTACCTCAGGGATATGTTCAAGTCATATGCCTGTGTTTTGTTTTGCTGGAAGTCACAGGTGTGGGTTCAATTCCAGACCTGAAGGGCAGCTAGGGGCCATAGTCTCAGTGGTTCCACCGGGCTCTATCAGACCAGCAAACCTGCCCCCCCCCTTTTTTTTTTCCAAATGATTTTGAGTTTTGTTCCACATTGTTCTCGCTCTCTATCCAGGATCTCCTACATAGATCCCCCTCCAAGTGGTTGACAGTGGTAGCTAGGCACCATCTAGTTCTTCTGGTCTCGTAGTCTTATAGTCTGGGGATGGCATGGTGTACCAGTTGCCAGGACTAATTGTTTCCATGAATCTTTGGTTTTCTTCATTCTTCTTTGCTCTGGACCAATAGAGATCTTTGCATCTAGATGGCTGCTTGCAAGCTTTTAAGATCCCAGTTGCTACTCGTCAAAGTAGGAGGTGGAACAGTGTTTTGTGTAGTATATTATGCCAATTGAGCTTGATGTCCCCTGAGACTATGGTCCCAAGCCCACTGGTTGAACTACTCGGTCCCTCGGGGTAACTGGCTGTAACCAAGAAGTGACTACAACCTTGTCCCTTGTCAGCTCTACTATACACCTGGGAATTCTTACAGATCATACAAATACACTTATAGGACCATTGTCTGCCAACCCTATACATGGTCTTGAGTACACTCCCCACTACATAGACCTACCTAATAGTTCAGCCTGTCCACCCATCTGTCCACCTGTACACCCTTGTTTGCTTTCACTGACATTGCAATACTGTATGTGCAAAAGGAGAACTTCCCTTTTAAGAAGTAAAAGTTAACATCACTTTGAATGTTAGGAGGACCTAGCAAAAATTTCTTTAAGATACTTCTTACTGGGAGAAAGATTCCTTTGGTGGGGAGGGGAGATGACCTTGTAATAAATAGTAAAACTTTTAGAATTTCTATGCAAGAATCACTCTGAGCTATAATCTGTTGGAGAGAGTGTTAGGAAACTTATTTTTAAGCTGTGATCCACATAATAAACATGTTGGTTTGCTTGGGGTGGGGGTGAAACATTGCCATTGAGTAGATTCAGACTCATAGACCCTGTAGAAGGAAGCAGATCTGTTTGCAAGGCTGTAAATTGTTAAGGAAGCAGAGTACCACATCTTTCTCCTGAGGAACAGTTGGTGGGTTAGACTTTACAGTTGGCAGCTGAGCACTTAATCACTGCACCACCAGGGCTTCTTTTGGGTTTTGCTTAGAATCTGCATTTATTTTAGATGACTTACAGTTGAGGACTTGCTAAAGCTGCCCAAAGCCACTCTTTGCTGCTACTCTTTGATTGCAAATTTGCCCGAATAAAGGCCCTTTCACATGTTGGGGACACGTTCTTCTCCTCCCACCCACCTCCACAGACAGGATCACTTCCTTCTCTCTGCTGCCACAGGATCGTGGACATTTATCTCTTTGTGTACACATGGTGTGCATGGTGTGTGTCAGCTTACCTGGCCAGGCTACAGCAGCCAGAGGGTAGGGATTGTATATTACTCATCTTTTTATTACCAGCCACTGCCTGGGCATGAAAAAGTCCCTTAACAATAATTATTGACAGAGTGAATAATCCTGAGGTAGTAGCTGTGGGGAGTCACCCTCTTCGTGGAATTGTCTCTCATTTTCACACTGCCAGCTTTGAGGAAAGATATGATTCCTCACCTGAAGTACATTATGAAAGAGCAGTGGGGATAGTGCCACAGTTAGAGCTGGAAGCCTGGACTCGGTGACTTTGATTCCCACTGTGTCTCATCTCCCTGAGAAACCTGGGAGGTAACTCCATAGCAGAGACTGGGAGGTAACTCCATAGCAGAGACTAGGCAGCATTTCTGTGAAGTTTGCTCACAGGATTCATCTGCTCAGTGTGGTGACACTAGGTGTGGAGCCTTGAGAACTGTCTACAGGGCTGGCTCCATAATTTGTGGGGCCCAGTACAAAATCAAAGTGTGGAGTCCCTTGTTCAAAAGAAAGAACAAAGCACAGTTAAAGGTACTAAAATAGAAAACTTTTTCCTTTCTTCCATTGTCTTTCTCTCTGAACTTGTCATAGTGTTTATCATTTCCTATTTAATGTTATTCTAAGTAGAGAAAAATTAAAATGTTAAATTATTGGCATGAATTTTACCGTTCATTTTCATATTGTGCAATGCCAATTTTAATTGCAAATGTAAGGCACTTAATTCATATGTGGAAACACCGAAATTGGACAATTCGTTTCTCTAGTTTACACATGCATATGTATTTGATTCTTAGAACAGTGAAAACCACACAGAACTAACTCAGCTGTTTTTACTTCACTTTTTGATATATGCACATTCTGCCAACACTCTCTACTTTGGCTTGCTGGTGAACAGGAAAAGATTGAAAGGAACAAAAATTATGAGTTGCCCTACCCTTTTCCTACTATGTCATCATTTTCAGTGCAAATAAAAGACTAGTTAATACAGGAAAATAACACAAGTGAGAAAGAATATGAAGGGGTTCTTTGGTTGTCTGTGTTTCTTAGAATGCCGCTGCCTTATTTGCTTGAGGCAAGTTCTGTCGAGTAGAAAGTATGGCCTCTACAGGCTGCTGGTGGCTCACTTGCTTAGTCATCAACGCAACATATTTATCTCATACTCTTGCTAAACTCCCACACACTGTGAGTCCAAAGAATTCTGTGCCTATGGGCTTGGTATGCAAATGCACCAGCAAAGAATGGTGGACACACATATTGCATAATCTCCTCCACTCACACTCGCTCTGTTGTCTCCTTGGACTTCACTTACAAAACACAAGGTCAGAGCTATGAAAATGGAATCATAGTGGAAAATTTAAAAAGTAGTAGCAAGGACAACCACTCAGAACGGGATCAGAGTTGGAGATCCTGGATAGAGTGGGAGAAAAATGTGGAAGAAAACTCAAAATTATAAAAAGAGTAGGCTTGCTGGTCTGATAGAGACTGGTGAAACCCTTGAGACTATGGCCTCTAGTCACCCTTCAGGCCTAGAATTGTACCACTCTCTTGGCTTAACTTCCAGGTAAAGAATAGACCTAGAGGTGAACGACACCAGGTAGGTATGCTCATTAGAATAGTCAATCATGGGAGATCAAAAGGGCAGCATTTGTGCAGGGAGATAGCTCAGGGGGCAAGAAGGCATAGGAAAGAGGGACCCAGGGAAAAGGCAACCATAGGGAGGAAGTGGGAAGAGAGCTGTTAGATTGCAGTCAGTGTTACAAAACAAAATGTGTATGAACTGTTGAATGGCAAATTAATTTGCTCTGTAAACTTTTACCCAAGGCACAATTAAATTAAAAAAAAAAAAAAAAGTAGTAGCAGGGAAAGGCATCAGTGCTGAAGGAAATAGCCTCCTGGACTTGGTAAAATAGGAGCCTAGTCTGTGGGTGTTGCCAAGGGCTTTGTGAGGAACTGGAGATGAAAGTGCTGGTAATTGTGCTCTAGGAGCAATCCTCGTTAGACAGTGTTGCCTGTCTGCAGTGCTGAAGCCTCTGTCATGCTTTGGGACTAAAAGGAGTCTGGGATCTATACTTGGGCTAGGAGTAAAGGCCAATGTGGTAAAGTAGCAGGAGTGAATGGGAAGCCTACAGGGAGGCCTATCTTAATACAAGTGTTGGGGCTGTGAGGTAGAACCATCTCTCCCTCTATCTTCACCCTTAGACCATACATTATTGTAAGGGAGCCTGTGGGTTTCCTCACAGAACTCCTCAGACAAGAGGAGAAGGCAGTTAGGGCAAACTGAGAAATGTTGGCACAGCAGACAGATGGTCATGACAGTGTCTTTCTCACACAGGTGCTGAGGGATGTCCTCAAGGATCTCTACCACCTGCTGAAGCACGTGGTACGTTTGGAGCCTGATGACGTGGCCAGACTCCATGCCCAACTGGCCCTGGAGGAGTTGGATGAAATAATGAGAAACTTCCTGTTCCCAGCACGGAAGCTGGAGAAAAAGATCGTGGTCCTGCCATAATTAGACCTGGCTTAAAGACAAGGAGGAAGGAGAGAGGGAACAAGCAACCAGAGCAGTGCCCAGGTCTTCCAGCAGGTGGCCCCACCGCCTCTTTGGTGCTGGCAATATGGCTGACCCTGGTGGTGGCTTCATCTGGCTTCTTGTGTCTTCAGGCTGACCTTCTGAAAACATCTATTTAGCATCCAGCCTGAAGTGTGTATAGTTGAGAGAAAAAGGATTATAAATCTCATTAAGCTGCATATTTTCACTGTCCTGTAGCATTTAGAGAAGGATGCTTACCTGATGGAAGTATAATTTTAAATGGAATTTGATTAAGTGACCATTCTCTTGTGACTTGGGTAGAAGAGGTTGGCCACCCATCTGTCAGACATCTTGCCCTTGTTCCACGATGGGATTATTCTTCCATGTGATTATGAGGAGCAGGCAGAGCTGGTCGTCTTTGGCTGCTTAAGAGGCATTTCAGAGTTTAGAGATGCAGTTGGAGGTGGGGAAGGGATGGAAATTGTTAGCAAAATGGAATAAAATTATCTTGCCTGGAAAGAATAACAGGTCTGAATCTGGTCCTCTGCTATTGAGATGGGAAGCTGTGGATTGAGAAGGCTTTGATCCCCAGAAAAGAGAAGCAAGCTGGTGAATCTGCCAGAGAAGGGTAAGCCCTGTGTCTGTTCTCCTTGGCCATTTTCTTTCCCTCCCTCTGCCTCTGTCTGTAGTTGCCCTGATTATCAGGAGAAAAGAGGCACAAGCATCTCAGATAAGAGTTGGTACTCGGCATTCAGTGCTCTGCTTTTTAGAAAGATGAATGCTTACCCAGCGGGTTAGTACAAAATGCATGCATATGGATGACCTGATGCCGGGTTTAGTGAAGTAATTTCAGTTGGAGCATATGCTGTGGACTCACCTTTATTTATATATTTTGGCCGCTGCACTTTGACTGCAGTTTAAAGAGAGAACAAAAGGGAGAAACTAGCTGGCTGCTTCAGACAAGACCCCTTACTCCTAGGCTGTCAACACCTTGACAAGGCTAACCCACCGCCGTGTGATCAGTCACAGACCTTGCAGGGCTCGGTACAGAATTCTGTCACAGGTTTTATCCATACTGTCTGGGGTGATCAGTCCAAGGGAACCAAAACACAATTTCAAAAAACTCTCAGGAGACTGGGGGATCTATATATAGACATCCCCCGTTCTAGCTTCCAGGGTATTTCTCTCTGGCCTGATTTACAGGCACGTTCTTAGCTCTGAACTTTTGTGGTGAGCATCTCTTCAAAGAGATCAAATTATACACAATTAACGGATCACAAGTTAATTGTGAGCAAAGAATTAGGACAAAGGCAGTTAGACATTTTTAAGGAATATTCCCATTTAGCCAGGGCAGCTGTATTCATTTCCATTCTCCAAATCAAGGATGTCTAGAAAATCAGGAGTAGGGTTTCAGAATAGGAAGGAGTCTCCTTTGGACCAGATGAATATAAACTAAATATTCTTGTTCCTTGCTGCCTTTTAGTGAATCTTCATCCAACCTACTTCAGATAATGAGATTGAATAAGTTAGACAGTATGATTGATTTAACCTACGGTTTTATTTGCATTAAATACACTCCACTTCCAAGGACATTATCTTGATTGATCACCTTGAATAGACTGAGAAATGCTCTAGTCTGAAAACTGAGTTTCCCAGAGAGAGTCTCACAAAGCATTGTAGTCCCTTGATTTCCTTATATAAATCACTTCTTGATTTGAATTATTTGGCAAGTGGCTAAAAGCATCTATTCTTTATTGATTTTGATGGGTTCAGTTTCAAAGAGTGACTTTTCTGACCTTGTTACCAAATTCAAGGAAAGATACTTTAATCCTCATAGACGTGACAAAATTATACAATTTTTTCCAAATTATTAATTACATCTTCCAAATTGTATGTACGTACGTATGTATGTATGTGTGTATACATACATATATATATATATATATATATATATATACACACACACATATATATATATATATGAAAAATTATTGGGTTAAGATCATGAGAAATTTAAAATATTAAAAGCACAAAACTGAAAAAGAAAAAGAAGTCAGGGGCTTGAGACAGATGTCAGAAGCAATAGTGGCACTTCCCTTCAAGGTTCCTAAGGGATGTCTTGTTCTTTGCAACAGCAACATACCCGTGCTTATCTCCCTCCTTTGCCCATCTCTTCTCCTCAGAGGCCACCTTCTTCCTGATGTCCAGTCCAGTCTCCTCCCTCCATCTGTCTAACTATTGTCTTCATGGGCCTCTTACATTAAGGGAAAACCACTTGCCCTGATACCCTTCTAATGCCTGGAGGCTCATCAGCTAGACTCCACTGTATCACTTACTGCCTTTTGCTTGGCCCATCCCTCCTTATCTTTCTTTCCCTTCTTAGTCTTTTTCTCCTCCTTTCAGGCCCACTGTCTACAGCTTCCATGGCCTATGGAAAGTGGCATTGAATCAAGAGGCATGGGGAAAAAAAAAGTCCTCGAGTCAGTTCTGACTGACGGCAACCCCATGTGTGCCAGAATAGACCAGTGCTCTCTCCAAAGGGTTTTCAGTGGCAGCTTTTGGGGAAGTGGATCACCATGGCTTTGTGGTGGCTGTGGGCAGACTCAGACCTCCAGCTTTTCAGTTAGCAGCAGATATGTTAACAGAGTCATGGAGGGAGCCCCAAAGCAGTGGCTTCAGCACAACCCTAGGCTTTCTGCCCAAGCGTCAACTGCTTGTTCTGGCTAGACTTCCTAAACATTCTGGAGAGTTTCCCTCTCGGCTCTTATTTTTCTTCCTTCTTGGCACTAACTTGCCCTTCTACAAGTCCTCTGTTATTTAATCAGAAACCTCTTCCCTTTCGCTTTGCTCCTTATCACTTCTCCACACACATAACTTTCCATAATTCCTTATATCCTCTTCCTTATTTTTTGCTTCCTTTCTTGACCTCTCTTCTTCATTTTTTCTACCTTTCTGTGGCTCTGCCCACCTATCCATGTCTAAGGACCAAGGTTGTTGTTGTTGTTGTTGTTATGTGCCGTCGAGTCGGCCCCGACTCATAGCTACCCCTCCTTGGGTTTTCGAGGCAGTATCACTACGGAAGTAGGATTGCCCAACCTTCCTTCCGAGGAGTGGCTGGTGGGTTTGAACCGCCAGCCGTCTGGTTAGCAGGCAAGTGACTTAGCCACTATCACAGACTTTGGCAACTTATGGAGCACCCTACTATGTGCCAGATGCTGTGCTAGGCACTGAGGACACAGCAGTGAACAAAACAGATGAAACTCTTATCCTCAGGGAGCTTGTATGGTAATGGAGGGAGACAGACAACAAACAAGATAAAGAAAATAGAAGGCAATTAGGGATGAATGCTCTGGAGAAGGATAAAGGTGGGAAGAGGGATGAGCTGCTTATGGAGGGTGGGAGCTATATGTTTAGCTTTGTTGTCCAGGGAAGATGTCCTCACTGTGAAGTTGATATTTGAGTATAGATTGGAAGGAGGTGAAGTGGCCCTGAAGACACTGGGGAGAAAAGCATTCCAGGTAGAGGGAATGCCAAGTCCAAAGGTGCCAAGGTGGCAGTGTGGCTGGCAGGTTTGAGGAGGAGAAGGAAGGCGGTCAGTGTGGCTGGAACAGATTGAGCATGGAGAGAGAGTGGAGTGGCTGAGGTCAGAGAGGTGATGAGCAGGATCACATTGGGCCTTTTGGGCTACCCGTTGGGTGAAGGAGGGAGTCACACACCCATTTTCACCTAAAACCCCTTTAGCTTGTTTATGGCAAGTGCTTCAAGGTCAATATGCTAAGTGCTGTAAAATGGGAAGTACATTTAACCAAAAGGAGTTTCGCACCCAGCCATACTTTTTTCTCAAAATGATGCAGTGAGCCCCCCTTTTCAGTGCACCCCACCACCACCCCATGCATAACTTAGCATCACTTGTTCTGGTTGTTACAGCACCTCTTCTCTGGCAGCAGCAGTTTCTCCTCATCTCCCCAAGAAGGAAGGAAAGCATATGTGTTGTTCTGCCTCCATCCGCGCACCTTCTCTGTCCCTTTGCCTGTGAGAGGGTGGAGTGCATGGAAACTGTCCACCACTTGCTTGGGACTCTTGCTAACAGTTGCTGCATTGGAGCGATGGCTAAGGCATCTGAAAGTTGATTAAATAGAGCTGTAATTGGCTTCTGCAGTCTTTTTGCCCAGAAATCCAAAATCTCAGCTGAAATTTCGATGGCAAGGGCAGAGAGTCAGAAACTCAGAAATGTGAGCAAAGTTCCATCAGAGTTGCTGTCCATGGTGGGCCATGAGAGACAGCCAGTACTTCCTGAGTGTGGACCTGCAGGGGTCCTACTCCTCTGGCCCCTGGACAGCAGCAGCCATGACCTCTGTGAACAAGGCTGTGTCCTCCGGCAGGTTTTGCAGCCACAGACATTCTGCCGTCACATGCGGCAGCTGCCTGCACTGCACAGCACCTCTGACTTACATGCAGCACTCTACTTGAAACAGAATCACTGCTTGGGGGTTGGGAATTTGTCTGGATTCTTACAGTCCCTGCTGCTGCAGTCTTCCCTACTGGCAGGGCTTGGGGCTGTGCTCAGTACATGCCGAGGATACTGGCAAGCACAGAGTGAATGCAGCCACCCTCACCGTCAACCCTGGAATGGGCCTCACCCACTTATCAGGTGAGGGATTATCACCTATTGTTCCTCCCTGGTGGCTCTGTGCTGCCATGAGGGCTCAGTCATTGCACCCTCTCCCCAGATAACCCTCTGTAGTATTTGGAGCATAGAATAGCAAGATTAGTAGTTCTGTATTTCCTTTAGTTGGAAAGTCATGTTTCATCTATAAGATTGTCCTATTCTCACAACAACCTTGTGAAATAAGGAGGCAAACTATTAACCTCTTTTGGTGGGATTTAACCCCAAGTCTCCTGGGTCTAAGGCAGGATCCTGTTTACTTCATTGGAAGATCCTCCATGAGTCCAATTTTGAGCATCCATTGAATACTATA